TCTTTTCTTGCATTTGAATTTTCTTTAAGACAAGGATAACTCTAGTGTAAGCAGCAAGGGGAGGCCAAAGAGACAAAGTCCCGGCCTACTGAAGATCCGCATGGCTCCCTGGCAGCAGACCCTGAGCTAAGCAGCCTGAAGGCAGGCACAGGCTGTGGACTCTGGCCTTGGAGAAGACCAGCGAAAGACTCAGGGAGTGGACAGTTTGCTCATACTGAGTCTGTCTGGGGTGCGTGTCCAGTTACCTCCTCTCCTCTGCTCTGTGAGAGAGCCCAGTTTGAGAGTGCTGCTTCCTTTCCTGAGGCAGGTGACTGTGTATGTGTTTACACTCCCACACGCATGTTTACACCTGGATGCATGCACTTTGGCTCTGATCTGCCTGTTCCTGTCCCCTGTACTTTTCCTCCCCTCTGCAGTTGCCAATGGGATGGTGAGAGACCCTTGCAGCTTCCAGGTGACACAAGGCATGGTTGTAGACCTCTCCTGTTGCTCTGTGCTGCTATCTGTAACTCAAGGGCCATCACTGTGCCTTCTTCCCCTCAAGAGAGGTGACAGGTAAATCACGAGCTTAAAGCAACAGCAGCATACATTTCCCGTATACGACTTTGATGTTGATAGCACTAGACAGCCTGGCCTAAGGCAAAACAGATGTGCAGAAAATAAGTAAGATTTTAGATTAAAAATATTTTTTTTGTACCAGGGATCAAACTTGGGTCCTTGTTCTTTCGAGGCAGGTGGCAGAATCACTGAGCTAAACCCCCATATTTTATTAAACAATTAGAGTGAAGCTTGTAGGAGAGTAGGGATTGGAAGGTTGGGGGACCCTCATCCGCAGAAAGCTCTGAGAACTGAGCACCAATCATATTCACTGCCATGTCAATTTTAGGGGGAAGTTAGGTTGCTCACATCATTGCCAAAGTCAGAGAATAATATCCAAAGTTCAGACAGTGGTCATGGCATTATCAATGGGGTTAGAGGAGTGGAAAAGGAGTTGTCTGTTTTGTGTCTTTGCTTTGTTTTATTTTTAGCAGTATATCAGTTCATTTCAAATATTGGGCTAGGGAGGATGAAAGAGAGAAAGATGCTTTAGTTTTCTCTATTAAAAAACTGACAGCTAGAAAAGCCAGCATTTTTGTATTCAGAGAACTTCACTGTTAGAAAAAAAAATGGTGTGAAGATGAAGGTTTTACAGATTTACCAAAGAAATGGCCAACTCTTAATCCACTCATTGACCATTTGTAAATCCACTCCTCAGTAGGAATCATCTATCAACCCAGCTGTCACATATTGCTGCGCACACCCAGTGGGGTCTCCACTGGCCTAGCCATCTGTCAGATGCCTGTCACCCACGCACCAACCCTCCATCAACTCCTGCTTCCACTCACCTGTTGCCCTTGCGTCCGTCCACACAGCTGTCCATTCTGGCATCTCTGCCTGACTCAGAGCGTCTTTCCTCTGCTGAGCACTTTCTTAAGGGCAAAAGGCACAGTTATTAACAAGATAAAGAGGCTTGTGTGTCCTTGGGTTCCCTCTAGAGGAGGAGGTAGGACATGAGTAGAGAAACATAAATACATGAGATAACCTAACACAGTGATAAATATTCCAAAGAAGTAAAACAGCTCTCACAGAGAATGACATTTTGCCAAGGGAGATGAAGTAGGTGGTCAGGGAGAGTCTCTGATGGGTGAGAAAAATCAACACCCACACGGAGAAAGGCAGCCACCCCGTTTCCTGGAACCCGAGGCTGTGCACTCATGTTCTCCGGGCTGAGGTTCAACGGCTTAGGCGGAGGGAGGGAGGGCTTCGTGCGAGCAGTGCGGGCAGCAGATCACAGAGCACTTGTGGGCGGTGGTCACCAAAGAGTGTTGCATCAAATAGAGCTCCTGGGATACGGCCTTAAGGAAACTCAAAGTCTCCTTTACCCTCTTCTACCCAGTGTCACTGTCCCGCAGGAAGTGCAGTGTGCGTGAAGGTTTGTGTGAGTGCTCTTGAGGACTGGGGCCACCATCACCCTGAATCCCTGGGCTGAGGGTCCACTCCGACTCTGAAGATTCCCGTTCTGCATCTGGAAGTCTGACTCGCTACACAACACGCAGTGCCAGCGGGGTCCAAAGAGCTCACGAGAGTCTGTGCTGTGATCATCAGACCCGCGCATGACCTGAAAGCCCAGGATATACCACCCACCAAGAAGGTGGCAGCTTGGACACTTGTTTCCTGGGTCACAGGAAGTCAGGCTTGGTCCTTGAGATGTGAAGCTGGCACTTTGGATGCTGTGCAGGAAAGTCCCGGCCATGTTCGTCCCATGGGGTGGGTCTGGTGGGGAGAAGAGCAGGGTTTCTCCTGAGCAATCAAGGGCCAGCAAGGGAGGGGTCCTCACTGCAGGGTGTAGGAGGGTTGTTCCGTGAGGCTGAGAATGTGTGCTCAGGCCAGAGTGGAGGGTGGGTGCCTCAGGTGCTCCTGCTCTGAGGGGTCGTCCTCACCAGGTTCTGCGGCTGGGGGTCATCAGAATCCCAAGTGAGAACACTTGGGAAATGAAAGCACTACCTTCCCTTCCCTTCCCTGTGGGACCCCTAGACGTGAAGGTGACTTGAAGCTGTGCCTTTGTTCAGGCAAGGAAGGCCGGGTCTTCTGAGAGGCGGGAGCTGGGAGCAGCATTGTTAGGACTGGAAGTGGGCACGGCAGCCCAGCTTGCAGGGAGGTCGCCTGAAGCCGCAGCAAGCCCAGGGAAGTGCTTCTCCTCTAAATGAAACTGCGTGTCTAATGAGGTTTCTGTTTCAAATCAGGCAGTGACCCAATTACTGCCAGAGTCTCTTGGATGCTTCCCTGTATCTGCTGGCAAATTGAAGAAGAGACTGATACACTTGAGTCCCTTGATATTTAGAGCAACTGAAAACAACGTGGAGCCAGGCCAAAGCTCTGAGTGTGAAGGAAGCCCTGGCGCTCTCTGGCTGTGTCCTCAGGCAGATGACAGCTGCTAGGAGTTTCAGCATCCTCCATGGGAATATGGATACAAGGCCTGAGGTCCAGTGAGAGAGGAGGCCAGGTCTGGGGGAGCCCATCTGTGGATCCCACAGAAAGGCTGGAGGGGCAGCTCTCTGGAAATCCACCTGATGGTCAGTGTGGGTCCGGCGCCAGTCTTGAGCCACTCGCTAGGACCAGGACATCACGGACACTGGTGGGCTTTGGTTTTGGATCCTGCACTCCACTTCCAGAGCTGTTGGCGGTGAGCAGGTCCCTGGACTGAGGGAGTCAGACAGGCAGCTTTGGGTACAGAGCTCACAGCACCTGGCTTCTTTGATCTAGATGTGAGCAGAGTACCCATCCTAAAATAATCCTTTCTCTCTGTGGGGCTTAGGACCTCAACATTTCAGCAGCACTGCTGGAATCTAGTTCCAAATCCCATTATGGCCAGTGAGTGTACAGACCAGATAAACTAGGGGTACCCATGAGATTCCAGAACACTAAGCAGTCTTAGGTAACCTCAGTCATACCTCATTAACCTTAGTCATAGTTTTCTCAACTTCTCAGATGAGACTAGAAGATTAGAAAGCAACTAAGTCACATAAACATGAACTGATAATAGATAAAAAGTATTAAGTCATGACATAGATACTTTTCTTGTGGTCCTGTAGCAGGATAAACAGAACTCAAATACCCCTGTCTCTCTGTTCCTCCCCTTCCAAGTGGAATTTGTCTGTGAGTCTCAATCCTAACATTACAAAAAATAAACACCGCATCATTTCTATTTTAAGCTAAATAAGTAATAAGAAATTAGTGGACAGCATTTACTGACCTGTGACCACTTAACCGTAAATGTTCTTATTTTCTTCCTCCCCAGGAGAGCAGCAGAGTTAATATTCCTGTTATTAAACACCATTTAGTAGTTGCCTCTGTGTGGCACTGAGGGCCTGTTAGAAAACAAGGGACTTGGTCCTGAAATTCCTTTTTCTCCCTGAGTCGCAGGTGCAGCTTTTTGGAGAAGGCTGTGGGAGCGAAAGCTGCTCTGTGGGAAAAGCTGAGAGTCCATTCCTCTCACCTGCATGGTCAACATCCCCACTAGGGATACATCTTCTCAAAGAAACACTGAAGCCCTTATGTCACCAGAGGTACAAAGATCCAGTTGTATAGGAGAAATACATTTTTAAGATCTATTGCGAAGCATGGAAAGTGTAGCTAATAAGATTGCTTTATAGGTTTCAAAATTGCCAACACATTTCAAATGTTCTCAGTACAAAAAATTAAGTAAGTGACATGATGGTCATGTTCATTTGTTTAGTCATCCCACAGTGTACACAGATGTGGAGACAGTACACTGTACCCCTAAATATAAGCAATTGTCACACGTATACTGAAAAGGGAGCACAGAGAGTGGAAAACTAGTGTGAAAATGGAAAAGCAAACTGTTTCCCCTAATTAGTGATGTATCTGATAAAAGATAAGTTGCAGTTGTCCCTTAATCACAGTAAGAAAAGGCCTTACAATGTGCTTGTGTTTTTCTTATAAGATAATAAAAACTTACTTTTGTCTTGCTTTACAGAGTCATGATAAACAGCGTAGCCTATGTGATCTTAGAACAAAATTACAGAATTGAGTATTTTGTAATTTGAAAAGAAATGCTGTAGAAGCCAGCACTTTGTATTTCTGAGTCCTGCAATGCTGTCATAAGTGCCGGCTTATACAGGGGATTATCTTGTCTTATAATAATTCAGCAAAGCACCTCCCTTGTATTTGCAGCTGCATGAATGGACTTACTGAGGTCCAGGTCACCTGGAGCCTGCCCTAGCATCACAGAGTGTTTTTGCAGGGCTAGATGTGGAGAAAACACCTAGAAAAAAGTCATTACAAAAGGTCTTTAGAGGCTTAAAAAATAAAGTGTGTTTTTCCATTACATTTGCCTGTAAAGAGATGAACCCTTCTTTCCATTGTATTTACCCCTTGATGGAAAGTTTTAAACCAGCCACAATCTGCTGAGGTGCCCGGACCTCCAGTTTGGGGATGGCATGTTTCAGGCACAGAGTGAAGGAGCAGGGAAGGCTCAGAACTTGCCTTCCTCCAGGACCAGGCTCCTCATCGTCCATCTCTTACTCACCACACTCAGCAAGACCACCCCGTCCACTGACGAGAGTTTGCAGCAAGAGTGGAGCTTGTTCACTAACTCAGGCACATGCCGTGCCGAGAAGCATAAAACCAGGTGAGACCCTTCATTTCCTGCAAGGAGCTCGCAGCACGGGAAGGGACAGCCCTGTGAATCGGTGAGCAAATCTGCAAGCAGGGATGCATTCGAGGAGGCTGCTCATCCGCCTAGAACACACGGCATCTGGGCTGCCGACAGGACAGCGCTCGAGTGGAAATTTGAAGGGGTGAGCAAAATTTGCCAGGAGGAAAGATCAAGATCAGTGTGTACTGAGCAGCGACTGGACGGCAGGCTCCTTTCTCAGTGGTCTTGGGGTTTGCCCGTTTAGTCCTCATTAGCGCAGCATGAGGGTAGGACTGTTTTGTTTTTATTGTGTTAGAGCACTCAGCATGCAATCCCTCTCTCAACAAGTCATCAAGTGTGCAGAGCAGTGTGGTTGAGTCTGAGCACCGTGTTTTACTCTCAGTCTCGAGAGTCTTTACATCAGGCGTAAACGAAACCTGATGCCCATGGTTAGGAGCTCTCTTCCTCTCCTGTCGCCTGTGTTACTGTGCACAAGCATTCGCCCCCGTTTCTTTGACCTTGACTGCTTCAGATAGCTCACATAAGTGGAGCCGTGCAGTGTTTATCTTCTGCCAACAGTATTACATCCTTAACGCCTGTCTGTGGTCTCGCATATGGCAGAGTTGCTCGCTGTTTAAAGGCTCTTTCCTTACCCATTCACCCCCTGAGGACCCTGGCCCGAGCCCATCTTCTTAGCTATTGTGAATAGCGGTGCACACAGAGAGGTCGATATCCTGATTTCGGAGAAAGACCCAGAGGTGGGGTTACCTGATAATATGCTACTTCTATTTTTAATTCTTTGAAGAATTTCCATACTGCTTTCCAGAGTGGCTTCAGTGCTTTAATTTTTCTCCATTTTTATATTCCCACTGATAATGTAGCAGAGTTCCGACTTCGCCACACCTTCACCAAAATGTACTGACTTTTCAAATGCATTGCTAACACCCCTTCTAACAGGTGTGTGCGAACATTCATGGTGGATTTGATGTGCATTTCCCTGACGATTAGTGACAGTGAACATCTTTCCTTATGTCCATATGTCACTAGCGTGTCTTCTTTGAGATATGTCTGTAGAAGTCTCCTGCCTCAGTTAATTTGAGTTATCGATTTGAATTTCTTTGCTGCTGAGAATCATGTCAGCTCTGGACAGTGATCTCAGTGCCGTGGCATCTCCAACACCAGGCACGTGGAGGGCTAATTCACATTTCAGAGTCATTATTGCTGGCTTGGATTCCAATCATTTATGAGGTTCCCCCAGAGCATTCCTCTCAGTCGTGCTGGATAATCAGGTTTAAGTTTTAATTAAACAACTGTCATTTGCTTGCTAGCACTGCAGTAACTTGACGCTATATTAAATTTTCATTCGGCCTAGGCTGGATAAAAAGATTCTCTCCGACAACAAAGAAAGGCTATTAGCAGGTTGCAGATGCAATTAGGCAGAGGTTCTCCGAAGTGCTGATAGATTCATGCACAGAAGAGAGAGATGAGGTTTAAACTCATAAAACCATTCCTCAATGTTGCAGCTCTGTGGTGAGAATAAGCCAGGCCTGGCTGAGTTGTGGAGGCCTAGAGCAGAAGACAGAAAACATTTGTAGCTATTGAGTTTTCTTTTTCTTCTTTTTTTGGTCCCTTATCTTTCTCCATCTCACTCTCCAAATCAAATTACATGCACACCAGGATGTTTGACTTTGTTCTAAAACTCACTGATGCCATCTTCCTCCTCCTCCTCCTCCTGCTCCCTCTTGCTCTCTCCTCCTCACCCTCCCTCTCCTCCACCTCCACCATTGCTGACATCTTTAGCTCCTCTTTTGTTTAATTTGGAATAGTTTTTGTTGACATGTTTTTCACGTGTCAACATGTTTCCCCTGTGTTGTTGAACCTGCCGTCCATCCTTTTATCTCAACGAGTAGTTTTCATTTCTACACCCTCGGTTTGAGTCTTTTCTTTTTCTGCCAGGTCTTTACTTATTCTTGGAGCATTGAGGATAAAAGGATGCTGGTGTTCTTGTACGATATTTCCTCCATCTGTGTCTGTGCAAAATTGGTTTATAGGAATTGTTTTTCTCTGTGCACACATACAATTTCTCTTCCATTTTAAATGTCTGGTAGTTTTCTTTATTGGATGCAACACAGTGTGGATTTACCTTGCTGAGTGCTGGATATTTTGGGATTTCCTATAAATATTCTTACAGTTTGTTCTGGAACAAATTTAAGTTACTTGAGAACAGTTTGACCATTTGGAATCTTGTTTTATAATTTGTTACACAAAAGTGGAGCAGCTTTTTGTCTAGTCCAAAGATAATTCTTCCCCACCACCAAGACAAGCATCTTCTGAGCATTTTACCACATGCTCCATAAATCATGAGCTGGAAACTTTGTTTGTGGTAATTAATGTAGTTTCTCTCTGTTGGCTGAAAATGTCTACTGGGTGATAAATAAACCTACCATTTGTATTTTTCTGTTCCCTAATGCTTAGTGTAATGTTTTTGCGTGGAGCTTATTAGTCAAGATACTTTTAGTTGCAAATGATGGAAAATTCACTTTACACCACTTTAAAGAAATTGTCCCATAGAGCTGGCAGCAGTTGCAGACATGAGATCCAATATCTCAGATGTTGCTCACTAGGATGTGGCATTCTCCTTTTCATAGCTCTGGTCTTCATCACTTGGAACTCTCAGGCAGGCTCCTACCTGGAAAGGCTTCGAGCACTACCCCACCTGAACTCTTAGACTTTAGACAACCAGGTGAGAAAATAATTTTATATGGCTTTTCTCCAAAATAGTTCCAGCCAAATTTCTACCATTTAATATATTTATATATCAAATATTTTATTTGTATTGGATCACGATCATACCTGAACCAGTCACTGTGGTCCAGGGAATAGATTATCCTAATGTGCGTCTCAGCAGGCATGCGTCCTGTGGCCAATCAGAAACCTTTGTCAAAGGCAGGAGCCCTACTAGGACACAGGCACAGCTACCAGAGGGAGGGCACCTGGAAGAAAATTGCAATGTTAATACTGAAAGATGCAGAAATGATTGTCTCTGCGTGGGCACTGTCCTTGCTGTCTGTAGCTACTGACTTAGCCCATTTGTCCTGAGACCATTAGGGCATTCTCAGGTAAGTGCATAGGATGTTTTCACCCCATTCATGTCTTGATCCAATTGTTTTGTTATGTTTTCCTCGTCCTAACTTCCCAGGCATCTTGATTCCACCATAACATTCAGAGGTCCACATATTTCCTGGGAGGGTCCTGGAATGTGGGTGGGTATAGACCTGCCAGGTATTTCTTTGGATTTCTTCCCTGCATGTCCAGAAGAGAGCCTGAAAAAGAGAACACTTGGTGAGTGGATGAATGGGTGAGATTTTTACATATGTACACATGCCAGGACTCCCTCTTCCTAGCCTGATTGCCATTGTGCTCAAATACTCATCCCCAAAATTGCTATTTACTGTTGGCAAGGAGCAACTGAGTACAAGTTTGAGATCAATGAAAATCAAATCATCTGTAAAATGAGCGAATGATAATATTTACCTCATCAAGGTGATTATAAGAATAATCATAAAAATGCAGAAATATCCAGCAGCCAATAAAGCAAATCCACAGTGGCTGAAGAGCATCAAATTAGTGATCATGTATAAAGTATCTTCTCTGGGAACATAGCATTTTATGCATTCTAGATAATCAGAATATTTACAGGGTTGACACGTTCTGTCAAAACATCCCTCTGTTTTGTAGAAGAGAAGATAACTGAGTGCTGCACAGATGATCACACACAGCCCTGTTGGCCACTTCTCTGTCCTTTGCTCTTTCCTATTTGAACTCACTCAGTCGTGCCTCAACTTCTTGAGCTATAGATATTAATGACTGTAGCTAAAAATACTGTGAATTTACTGTGTACTAGCAAAGCTAGACACACTTTACATTAAAGCAACTCCTTCGATATTCTCAACAGGCTTTTACGGGAAGTGCTATCCTTACCTTCACCGGCATCAGAAACCTGAGACACAGGGGCAAAAGGTCCTCACTTTACATCATCCGGGGTCACACGTGTGAGGAGTGGCTCATGTCAGAAAGTGTCACTCGACAGCGAACCAGCCAGCTCTCTGCCTTTGCTGCTTGCCATGGAAGTTCACTTTCTTGACTTCCTTGTGGTGGGAAGGGGTCATGGGAGCCACATATGGCCCAAGAAAAACAGTATGAAGTGTGCTGAGCTTGTTCTGGGGAAGCTTTTGGTTTCCCATTCTAAAGGGTCGAGCGCAGTGAGGACGACACTCTCTGCCTGGCACCCCATCTTTAAGTGGAATGTGAGCAGTTCCCTGGGTGCTGGACGCCATCTTGTTCCATAAACCAGTGACCAACCAGATGCAAAAATGCCACCTTGACCTGACTGGCCACTCAACCCAACATTCCTCCTCCCTTTGGTGTGGCAAAAGGACCTGGTTTTCATTTACTGACCTAAGTGACTCCGTCAAACTTTCTCAACCACAGTTAACACAACTCTTGTTGTGAGCCTGGATCCCAACTCAGATCACCGAGTTCCAGAGCTCTTGTGCTTAACCTCTAGTCCAACTCCTTGTCAAGCATCAGGATCTGAGAATTCACAGGGATGGTGGTGGGGAGGTTGGGAAATAAATATGTGATGTCTCCCTGTGGGAATCTCATAGGCCAGTGTACAACATGATAGAATAATATTATGTGTGTCGTTCCAAACTGTGGAAAGGCTGAAGGCCAGGAGAATAATAATTTCTGGGGAACTTGGGGGAAAAGGTTAAAGTGCTTTTGTTAAATTGTTTTTGAGGGAGGCTCTCCCTCTCTAGTTCAGGCTGGCCTTGAACTTACAACTGCTTCAGTGCTTGAGATTACAGACACGTGCCACCATGCCTGGCTATTTCTTAACTTTCTAAAATCCCCTGCTTTGGAAGTTTTGGATAAAGACCGTGTCCGATGGGGTGAGGCGGGTATTAAATTGCTAGTGGGGAATTCTACAGCAGAGATACTTATATTCTGTGATTGGCACTCCTCTGTTTTGTTTTTGTTTGTGTGAATGCATGAGTGTGTGTTTGTGTGTGTTGCTATGCTTTTTAATCTGAGCCAATAACAACACTACATTCACTCTATTAAGAAGCTTACACAAGCAGATGGTCATTTCCAAAGCAAATGTTCTGCAGCCCCTTTGCAAAGTGTGCGGCACAGCACAGCCACACTGTTCATGTGTGTGAGACATCCCTGTGAGGATTCGGTGAGCTGCAGCTCCTGACCCACGGCCCTGCCTCTGGTGACTCTGGGACATTCCAACCACCTGCACGGTCATCTTGCAGTAAGGTGTAGTGACGCCCAGGGGTGAGTAGCATTCCACCTTCCAGATGCAGATCGGCACTGTACAGCAGCTGCCTCAGTGACTCCTCCCCGCTCCACGGAATCTCCATGTTAGCTCCGAGTACCTCCTTCTGCTCCTCTTGGAAAGTGGGGTCCACAAACACAGGCAGTGTTTGCTGTGGTTCCTCTTGATGCAATGGCTACCTGGGGAGGTCACACTGCTCACGCAGTGGGACTCTGTGTTCCAGCCGTTGTCGACACATCGCCCTCTGCCCACACATGTTGTGTTCTTCTCTCCCACTGCAGGAAGTCTGCTCTGCCTGATCCTGAGTCCTCTGAAGACCCAGGCCAGGGCAAGCTTGTGAGGAGAGGGCGGCTGATGCAGAGGGGCATCCGGACCCTGGCCCTGCACCTGGAGAGCAAGTGACTTTCTCTGCAGCCCTTCCTGAGCAGGAGACTCTTTGCAAAATGCATTCCCACACCACACGCAGACTTGCCATTTCCATGAGCGACTTTTTTTCTTTTCTTTGATAAAAATTTTTTATGGCAGCTCGCTAATATTACATGATAATGGAATTTATTTTGCTAAGTTGATGCAAATACTTAATGTCTCAATCCCCTCTCCCTTTCCTCCTCTCTCTCACCTGCCTCCTTCCTCATCTCCAAGAAGTCTACACCTGGTTTCCCATCATTGCTACATTGCTTATTCTGTTTATTTGTTTGATTTCACATAAAAGAGAAATTGCTGGATATTGAATTTTCTAAGTCTGGCTAATTTCACTTATCATGGTGGTTCCATCCATTTTCCTGCAAATAACATGATTTTGTTCTTTTTATAACTGAGTAACGTTCCATGTTGCTTATTTCCCACATTTTCTATATCCTTTCATCTGTTGATAGGCTTCCAGTCTGCTTTTATAGTTAGCTATTATGGATTGTGCTGCTGCAAACGTGATTATGCTTGTATCACCATAAAATACTGTCTTTAATTTTCCAGGGATATTCCTGAGAGTGGTATAGCGGACTCAAATGGCGTTTCTAAGTTTAGTCTTTTTAAGGCTTAAAAATAGTAAACTTGAGCTTACTCCAAACTCATAAAACCCAGGTGATAGTAAGTCTTATGCTCCTTCTTTTTTAGTATACATAAATAAAATAAAATAAATGACCGTAGAAACGAAAGGGAGCCCATGTGTCCACTGATGTCACTTTGGGTAGCAGTACATCTCCTCGTGGTGGGAGGGCTCCTCGTGTTTTCCACTCTAACTGGCGGGGTTTATGGCTCTCGTCTCATTAGCACACAGCTCATGGCTCTTTTAAGTTATTTCCAAGGATCTTTTTGAGCCACAGCACTCTGCATTTCTTCCTAGCTTTTGACGTACTCTTTGGGTTCTGCACTTTGGAGCAGACGCCTCAGAAGTTCGTTCTTCGGAGAAAGAACTCGGGCTTCAGAAACATTCACCCTTCTTTCACTTTTTCTTTTTTGAAAAAAAGGCCCTTAAGCTCCATTTCTCAGTCATTTTAGAAATAAAATAATAGCAACATGAAGGCTCATGCTCCCTCACATTTCAGCTGCTCCGATACAAGAGGCTCAATCTAAATCTGCCTCCGTCTTAAGAATTTCAAGTTAGACAGAGAAGCCTTGAAGTTTCTCCCTCTGATGTGAAAGAGTTAGTGGAAAATAATTTCTTCATACAATGTAAAAGTGCAACTGGTGATTTAAACTACAGACAGTCTTGGTGTAAAAAAGGAAATTTCTTAGAGATGCTACGAAGACACCTGTACTTGAAAACTGCAGCTGAGCTGACCTATTTCTGATTGTGGAGGTTTATTCTTCATGAGGCCAAAGTTGAATGAACTTGCAGCTGTCTGGCATCTGCACACACCTGTGTGTCCTGCAAGCCTTACATGGCGGATGGAGAAGTCTGCAAACACCCCAGGATTCAGAGATCCGCACCCCACTGGAGGCCGTCAGCTGCCAGTGGGAGTGGATGTAGCTGGCTATAAGTGAACTGTGGGCCTCGGCTGCCTGGCCTTGCCTGCCTGCCCACGTCACGGTAGAGGAGAGTCAGGAATCGTGGTGCCCAGGAGGGGAGTCGGCCTGTGTGTACCTTGATGAGGACTCACTGGACCCTCTGACCCCACTGCAGAGCCCGCCGTGTATACCCCTGAAGGCACCCTCACTCTCACACCCTACGAGGGGCAGCTGGGTGCATGGAGGGCTTTGAGTCATCATTGCCTTCTCTGATGGTGAATTTTACGAGCCCTCTTGACTGGGTTGTGGGTGCCGAGATGAAGGACTAAACACTGCTTCTGGGTGCACCTGTGTGGTATTTAGATGAGGTGAACATTTGAAGCTGTGCAGTCTTAGAGCAGATGGTTCTCACCAGTGAGGCGGCTACTGTCCAATTCCTTCGGATCTGGATGGAACAAAGGGTGGCTGAAGCCTGAACTGGGCTTCTCTGCCTGACTGCAAGGCTGTGGCATCAACTTTCACCTTTGGATGTGGACTTTTCACACTCCTCACTCTCACAGCTGTACCAGAATTTATAGCATGAGCTTCTCGGGATCTCCAGCATGCAGCTGTCTCCCTGATCACCACATAAGCCAACTGTAGGTCAAATTCTGTCTGTATGCTATGTATTTGTTGATATACAGAGTCCTTAACACACAATGCTTTGACACAGCAATGGTTTAAATTGGATATGTAGTCAGTAGGAGCCGTACTTTGCAATTTGATCTTCTCCCAGGCCAGCAATGTGTGGTATGGCACTGTCTCCCTGTGGCAGGCGGCAGCACCAAGTTCAAGTTCCAGGCAGCCATGGGACTATGTGATGGGGACTTTGTGGATTAGTTCAGGGAGAGACAGTGGATAGAGGTGCTAATGTAAAGTGCAGTAAGATTGAAAATGTATCTTTTGTGTGTCCCATCATTGTGAGCTTTTTTTGTGTGCATGACAGAGAAAACAGTATTTGGAATCCAAAATTTGGAAAAGAGATCTGACAGCATGGGATCCTGAGCTCTACTGAGCAAGAGGGGTAAAAGCAAAGTCTCACAGCTTGAGAACTTTATTAGGACACATTCGTGTGTACAAAAAGAATTAAATATAATCTTCAGGGTCATTAATTAGTGTGTATGCTATCACATGTTTTTATGGGATTTTGCTGAATGCTTGCTTGGAAACTTTAAGAATTAAGGTGTAGGTGTTCTTTATTACTCTCAGTGTTTTTTAAATCAACAGACAAATGAAAGCTTCCTCTTTACAGAGTGATGTACAAAGAGCTTTGGGAGCTACTTTGATGGAATGCACATCTCCTTCCCAAACCAACTACCATCTAACAGTCCCTACTGACTTGCATGTATCAGGCATTTAGTATGTGCCTCACACTATTAAGCATAGATGGAACTATGGAGTCCTTTAATCTACACAAAAAGCACACGAGGCAGATGATGCAATTTATCACAGAGATTACAGATAAGGAAACCGAGGCCCTGACAGATTCAGTGGCTCAGCCAGGGCACACAGGTACAGGTGGGGTGGAGCCACGGTGCACAGCAGGCTTGCTGGCTCCAGACCCAGTCCCCTGGAACATGGGGCAGTGACACAGTGCCACTCTGTGCAGCTGTGTAGGGCAGAGACCTCAATCTTATGGAAGAGTAGCAGAGTTCAAAAGTAGCCAGCAGCAAACTTCTGGTCTTTCCCCAGCAATGTCACGCAAAAGGCAGATGACTGATTGCTACTTTTCCCTGACAAGTCTCTCGGAATGCCCTCACAGGAGGAAGGTGATTATAATGCTGTGATTATGCTGTGATATATGAGCACAGACATTCTGACTGAGTGCTAGGCTCATGTTTCCGTGCATTTGTTTCATGTTGTTTATCCAGAAGTTGTGGCTTCTAGCATCTCAGAAGTCTATTGTACACTCTCAGCAGAGAATGCCTCTTTCACGCTAATGGAGTAATAGCGGTGCTCCCATGTTCTCCCTGCTGATAGCGTCTGTCGATTTATTTCTGCAATAATTCAACTTCTCTACTTTCAGTGGGACTAGGCACTAATGAGATGATAAAGGGCTCACGAAAGATCATTAGCATTTGAAAGCCATCCCAGCCCCAGGGCACTGTGCACTTTCCAGCATGGTCTGTGGTGGGCACAGTAAAGCAGGTGTCTTCTGAGGGATGCACTGTTGGAGGACGCACTTCCTAGTGCTGCCTGCTGTCTGCCTCGTGGGACCTGGTGTGACCCCTGGAGAAGTAGCACTGGCCTTGGAATAGCAGCAAATTCCTGGGGTTGATGTGCAACAGCTATGAAAAAGAGCCTTGGAACCAAAGTTTTCTTCAGCGGGAGGATTTTCAGAGAAGATCTGCCAGGGAATGGTGTCTGAGCCAGGGCTGGATCCTAACTTCCCCTGGCTCCAAAGCCTCTTGCTCTTCTATGATAAATGAAGTCACCTTCTATCCCAGCCCCAGCTGACTCCAAAGCTTCTCGCCTTCCCATGACAGAGAGTGTCACCTTCTGGTGTCCGTAAGCTCTCCTGGTGGATCACGTGTGCTCCTTATGCGAAGCGAGCTCAGATTTTCCCACTTCATCATATCTGTTGAGTATGTAGAAGGCACCCCCTACATTCTGGGTAGGGAAGTGGCTGCTGACAATCCCCAAAAGTGACAAGGTCCCCCGTCTCCCTGACCTGCCACTTTAAGGATAAGACCAGATGAACGGATGCACTCACGTGGTACTGAAAGCATCAACTCGTGCAATAGTACTTGCATGTGGGACAGAACCGGGCGGAAAGAAGTGGGATCAAGGAAAGACCAGTGCAGACTCAGTTCCTGAGTGGTCAGGAGGCTGCCTTCTACCCATCACTTCTGCTGGTATTTGTTGAGACTATTCAGCCACAGGAGAGAGGCATTCAAGATAGAACCTGAATGTCCCATCAGGCCCGGTGTCTCCAAACTGCATCCATACCATCTTGGCGGTTGTTATTGTTAAACCTTGAAAGATATTTAGGAATTTCCTCCGGGTAATGCATGAACATGCCATTTACTTATAAGACAGATGACAAGACAAGTGTGAATGCTAATCCCATTTGGTCTCTATAAACTTCTCCTGTGGATTATAAGAAGAAAAGGAAACAGGGCCGGGATTCAGGTCAGTGTTTCCACTGCCTGCCTCTCAAGTGCAAGGTCCCAAGTTTGGAGGAGGGTGGGGGGGAGGAGAAAGAGGAGGAGGAGGAGGAGGAAGAGGAGGAGGAAGAAAAGCAAAGGAAACAAGCAGGGAGACAGCCAGAAGAGGCACTTTCTGAACCTGAGAAGTTGACAGCCCGTCATGCTAGGAAGAAAAGCTTTGTACTGGAAATTTACTCTGCTGTTCACAAAAACATTTCCTTACCCACCCAGGCACGACCCCTTCATCGCATATCCCAAGGCAC